CGACACTTCATACTGGAGCTAACTCGCGAGCATTTTGTGAGCTGGCATTGTGATTTTGCACTACTTAGGTGTAGCAATCCTTATACTACAAAGTAACTTTTAAGTAAAAAATGATCAAAGTGATGATACTTGTACTTAAGTTTAGTACTCTTTCCACCTCTGAGTTATGGTTGCTGGCTGATCATTCAGCCATCAGCTGATTATGGAAGGGTGATTGTTTATTCTAAATACAGATAGTGAGTGATGTCATAAAATCATCACTTTTGGTAGAAAAAATACAGCCTGGTAACTATTTTATAAAATATTAACCTCATAACTTGGTTATTCTTTCTGCGGTAGTCAGATCAGATCATTAACCCTAAACTGGAAATAATATTAATAAACATAATTATTTATTGTCTGATGATTATATAATAAATAAATAATAATTGTGTTTTATTTTATTAACATCATAACAGTAATACAGAAATAAAGCAGGCTCTCACCATCTGTCGATGCTCCACCAGGGGGCAGCAGACACATACAGGACTAGACATGGCAGGTTTCAGATGAAGGTAGTAATCCACGCAATTGTACATTTGTTAGCTTTATGTGTGAACCCAGCTGCAGCAGACAGATTGTGATTGGATGACAGTGGTTTTAGTTCTAGCTCGGCCTGATTTGGATTGGCTTTGGGTCTCTGAGGACACATCCTGCTCTATGCTCCGGCGCTGTTCCCTCAGCCGTCCTCTTGAACCAGCTTTCAAAAATCACACAAATAACTACATAAATAGTTAAAGTACCCCCTCCCCCATAACACACACACACACACACACACACACACACACACACACACACACACACACAGGATTGGCTGGATGAATGAAGAACTGTCGGATCTATGACCTTTTCTCTGCTTCCTTCACCCTAACGGAGCAGCACTGAAGCAGATGCTGGAAAACATCTTTTGATTGACAGTTTTAACTTATGTGGCAGAAGGAAGTTTTATGTAAAAATGGATTTGTGTTGTTTTAGTCCTGTTTACAATCATCTACAAGGAAAATGTCTCTCCCTGGGCTGTCACCTTACTGTGGTGGAGGGGTTTTAGTGTCCCAATGATCTAGGAGCTAAGTTGTCTGAGGCTTTCTGCCTCTGGTAGGGTCACCCATGGCAAACAGGTCCTAGGTGAGGGATCAGACAAAAAGCAGCCCAAAGACATCTTATGACCAATTATATAAATGGAAACCGTGTTCCCTCGCCTAGACGCGGGTCACCAGGGCCCCCCTCTGGAGCGAGGCCTGGAGGAGGGGCACGCCGGTGAGTGCCTGGTGGCTGGGCTTTCACCCATGGTGGATATTCTGGTCCACCATCCAGCACCTCAGGAGGGTAAAGCTGTCTGCTACCAACACACTGTGATGGAAGTAACGATGTGCTGCTGACCTCGACTCGGGATGTTGTGGATCGGGGGCGGAATACTTCTAGTGAGGAAGCAGAGTCTGGGGACTTTGAGTTGGGCTCTCAAATCTTTGGTGCTGAGGTCACTGAGGTGGTCAAAAAGCTCCTCTGTGGCAAGGCTCCGGGGGTGGATGAGATCCGCCCGGAATTCCTTAAGGATCTGGATGTTGTAAGGCTGTGTTGGCTGACGCGGTTCTGCATTATTGTGTGTACATCGGGGGCACTTCCACTGGGGGGCCAGTGAGAGTTGGACAAGGTTGCTCTTTGTCACTGATTTTGTTCATAACCTTTATGGGCAGGATTTCCAAGAGCAGCCAAGGTGTTGAGAGGATCTGGGTTGGTGGCCTTAGGATCGAGTCTCTGCTTTTTGCAGATGATGTGGTCCTGTTGGCTTCATCAGAATGTGATCTCCGGCTCTCACTGGAGCGGTTCGCAGCTGGGTGTGAAGCAGCTGGGATGAAAATCAGCTCCTCTAAATCCGAGACCATGGTCTTGAGTCAGAAAAGAGTAGAATGCCTTCTCCAGGTCAGGGATGAGGTCCTGCCCCAAGTGGAGGAGTTTAAGTATCTCGGGGTCTTGTTCATGATTGAGGAAAGCTGGAGTGTGAGATCGATAGGCAGATTGGTGCTGCGTCTGCAGTGATGTGGGCGTTGTACCGGTCTGTTGTGATGAAGAGAGAGCTGAGTCAGAAGGTGAAGCTCTCTATTTACCGGTATACCTACGTTCCTACCCTCACCTATGGTCATGAGCTTTGGGTAATGACCGAAAGAACGAGATTGCGGATACAACTGAGTTTTCTCCGCAGGGTGTCTGGGCTCTCTCTTAGAGATAGGGTGAGAAGCTCGGTCATCCGGGAGGGGCTTGGAGTAAACCTGCTGCTCCTCCACATCAAGAGGAGCCAGTTGAGGTGGCTCAGGCACCTGATAAGGATGCCTTCTAGACACCTCCCTGGTGAGGATTTACGGGCACGTCCAACGGGGAGGAGACCTTAAGGAAGACCCAGGACACGGTGGAGGGACTATGTCTCTCAGCTGGTCAGGGAACGCCTTGGGATTTCCCCGGAGGAGCTTGTCTAAGCAGCTGGGAAGAAGGAAGTCTGGGCCTCTCTGCTTAGGCTGCTGCCCCCGCAACCCGACCCCAGATAAGCGGATGAAAATGGATGGAAAATCTTATATATGTCATGGTTCCCCATGTAGGGTTAGATTGGGGTTATTGAGTGACCATTAAAGGCTTAAATCATGAGTCAGGTCAGATCCTTTATCAGCAGTAGGAACAGTTTACTCCATCAAACACATCTTGAACTCCTGGTGATCAGAACCAACAGAACTGGGTTAGGCTGAAGAGCACTTCCTGCTGGGATCATGCATTTATGAATTAGGTGGAAGATCTTTTCAGTCGTTGTTTAAAGCTTGGGGGTTTTGGGGGGAAACAAGGAGTTCCTTTCAAACATCATGTCACCACACCAGTGTCACACTCCTGGCTGAGCATGCCCACGCTCTGACCCCAGCAGTATTGTGATGCTGAACCTCAGAAGGGCCTGAAGGACAAGCACCACTAAACGTGAGCCCCACAAGCTTCGAGGCACCCAGAGCTCTGCTCTGCTGTGGGGAGTGATAACACCACTACTAACCCTAACCCTGGACTCACTGGAGTCTGTGTTCAGCATAGCTTTTCCTGGTTACGTGTCTGCCAGGTAACATGGCTTCCAGCCATCAGAATGCTGAAGTGAAGCTATAAAAGCCATGAATGTGAAACAACAGCTGCTTCCAGGTGGTGCTTCGCTCAGAGACGAGTGGTGGTGGTGGGGTGAGACAGAACACTCGTCTGGCTGCCCGACTGCAGGCCTTGGACTTGGCAGGTCTGCTAGGGAAATGCTGACAGGCAGGCATGCCTGTCACAGCACATAAGTGCCTCCTCACACAACGGCGGCCCTGTAGGGCACGTCTTCTGCTCCGTGTTTAGCACTGTCTCACGCTCAAGCCGACGACTGAAGTGTGAAGCGGAGGGGGCCCTGTGTCATCACCTCTGAAAGGCTCAGTGAGGTGAGAGGAAGGCCAGCGGTGACATCACAGACGCTGGCACTTAAACTCTTCACTAATTACAGGAACAGCCTCTGTGACTAAATTGCACACAAGGCAGAGTTTTTCTGCAAGCTGAGAATTTATAATTACACTCGGTCAATGAAAAGCAACACGAGGACACAGATTTCAGCACTCATGTATTATGCATGCTTCACAAACTGCTGATCTTCCAACTGGTATAATTTATGGGCAGATGCAGATGTAGGGCCGTGTTTAATGGAGAGGCTGGGGCTTTGATGCTTCGGTAAAAATACTCTCACATATTCAGAGCATCAGTCAGAAGGAGGACATGTAGGACAACATAAACCCAGAGTTGTCTGCAGGTGATGCCAACAGGAACAAAAAGATTTGAGCTGATTGGTCAAGTTTCCCACACAGAAATGTGGACCCAACCCAGGTTTTCAGCAGTGGTGTGTCCAGGTCTCTTACAATAGGGTGGCCCATTTTTGGTGGGGTGGGGGTGGGGGGAAGTCATTAAATCATTCAGGTTTTGCATTCTAGTGGATTTGTGAGCTCCACACATTGTACCTTGTTAAAGTCTGTGTTGTGACTAGTGTAACTACAACAGAAAGGAGTAGGACACCTGCAGGAAGACCCAGGACACGCTGGAGGGACTATGTCTCTCACCTGGCCAGGGAACACCTTAGGATTCCCCCAGAGGAGCTGGCCCAAGTGGCTGGAGAGAAGGAAGTCTGGGACTCCATGACCCCATGACCCGACCCCGGATAAGTGGAGGAGAGTGGATGTTAGATTTTTTATTTGAGTTTCTTTCACTCTCACTCACTCATGCACACACACACACACACACACACACACACACACACACACTCACACACACACACACAGACACACACACACACTCACACAGACACACACACACACACACACACACAGACACACACGTGAGTGTGTGTGTGTGTGTGTGTGTGTGTCTGTGTGTGTGTGTGTGTGTGTGTGTGTGTGTGTGTGTGTGTGTGTGTGTGTGTGTGTCTGTCTGTGTCTGTGTCTGTGTGAGTGTGTGTGTGTGTGTCTATGTGTCTGTGTGTGTGTGTGTGTGTGTGTGTGTGTGTGTGTGTGTGTGTGTGTGTGTGTGTGTGTGTGTGTGTGTGTGTGTGTGTGTGTGTGTGTCTGTGTGTGGGTTTCTGGTTGATCCTTGTTGGCATGAACGTGAAATCGGTCACCTGGCTGTGGAAACTGCTCTTTTGGCCTTCAGCCATCTTTTCGTATCTCAGACACGTTGTCTGACGAGCTGTCGGGCGAAGTGTTTTCCAGCCAGAAACATGACAGTTTGAACTGAAAGTGGCTTTTTAGAGTGAGAAGCAACAGTTGCTGGTGGATGGAGGATAAGGAGACGTGGATTGTGTAATGGCTTTTTCCTGGGAATGAGGAATGTACCGTTCCAGGAGAATACAGACCTTCATTCTGCTTTATGCTCCTGAAATCTAAAAGCTTTTTCTTCTTTGTTGTCTTTGTTCCTCCCTACAGATGTTCTGGGGATCGCTGATGGTTTTCCCTCCGGATCTAACTCAAGTGGACCAAACGTGTGTTTGTAACTCCTGCTGCTGCTGCACGCAGAAAGGCACCGCTCTTCTACCGCTAAGCCACGTGCTGTTTCTGCCGGCCAGTCTCCACCTTTAGCTCCGAACATGGCTTGTTTTGTAGCATCTGTGTTTCTGCTGGTTCTCCAGACATACACGGCCCCATCTGAGCTCCTTCAGCCAGATTTTGCGGTGGACACTTTGGACACTGAGCCAGGACTGACAGCGAATGTCTCTGGAGACGTGACCTCATCTCCACCTCCAGGAAGCAACAAACAAACCCCACACAGTATCATTATTGGGGTGCGCAAAGGAGGCACAAGAGCGCTGCTGGAGATGTTAGACATTCACCCAGAAGTTGCTGTTGCTGCCACCGAGGTGCATTTCTTTGACTGGGACGAGAACTATGCGAAGGGCCTGGTGTGGTACCGGGAGCTCATGCCGTATTCCTACCCTCATCAGATCACAGTGGAAAAAACTCCGGGTTACTTCACATCCGCTCTGGCGCCAGAGCGGATCCGTGCCATGAACTCCTCCATAAAACTCCTTCTGATCCTGCGAGACCCCGCTGAGCGGGTCGTCTCTGACTACACCCAGGTGTACTTTAACCGGCTGGAGAACCACAAGCCAGTACAAGCCATTGAGAACCTGCTTGTTCACAACGGAGCACTAAACATCCGTTACAAAGCCATCCAGAGGAGCTTGTATGACGTCCACATGCGTAACTGGCTGCATCACTTCCCACTGAGACAGATTCACATCGTGGATGGGGACGCTCTAATCCGTGACCCCTTACCTGAGCTTCAGAAGGTGGAGCGCTTTCTGGACCTCTCACCAAGGATAGTGTCCTCCAACTTCTACTTCAACCAGACCAAGGGGTTTTATTGCATCCGGAGCAACGGGCGAGAGCGGTGTCTGCACGAGTCAAAGGGTCGTCCTCATCCGTCGGTTAACAGCACAGTTCTGCAGCAGCTGCGCTCTTACCTGCAGGAACACAACCGGACCTTCTTCAGGCTGGTGAAGCGTACGTTCCACTGGCAATAGCAGCCTGGATCTCCAACTGAACTAAGCTGAGCCAACAAAAGTAATACTAACAGCACTTTAGATATATGATGAAGAAGTTCCTTCAGACTTCTATCATGTTCCTGGTACCTTTGTTCTACACACAATAAGGCTGATGAGCGTGATGCAGCTGTGAGTAGAAGCTTGAGACTAAAGCAGTAGCTTCAGACCTAGAGAGATAGTCCAGAGTTTCTGCACATCTTACCTGCTCTGTGAATCCTCCGTTTGGAGAAACGGGTTAGCTGTTACTGGATAAACAAGCTAACAGCTAATCGTAATACTAAATATTTTAGAGCACCTTTTAAAACCTTTGGATAACCGGTGCACAGGTACACATGTGTGCCAAAAATAATGACTGGTGTAGTATCGCCATGACAACTGCTCTTCCCTGGCCAAGCACTCATCACAAACTCGCTCCCGGCGATCTGATCGTCCCTCCAGGGAACTACGGTGTTTGTTTCACGTCACACAAACAGAAAAAGGTGGCTTCATCAGCTGATCTGACGTTAGACCCCTTCCTGTTATGGGTGTTATTGTTGCATCCATACAAAGCTTATAACACGTTTTACATTTCAATTTTGGGAATTAGGCATGTTTAAAAAAGATCAAAAGTTGAGTCGTGCCATTTTGGCTAGCAGTTAGCTTGTCAATCCCATGGGAGTCCAGCTCTTCTTCTCCAAATGGAGGTTGTTCAAAGACACAAACCAGGTGAGATTCCCAGAAACCAGCTTCAACATTTCCAAACTTTCCCATCTTTCCCATTTTTAGTGCTGGAAACTTTTGGTAAAGTCTGATGTTAATAAAATTGATGATTTAATAATAAACTGCTCTGTTACAAATGCACAAAACTGTTCTCCTGTCTTTCTGGCGCTGACTGTAGCATCAGAAGCACCTACGTCCTGCTTTTAGAGATGAGTAGAGGTGGGAAAAATGATCGATTCAAAGATGCATCGCGATTCAGCCGTGCATGATTCCGCATCGATGCAGCAACGTGACATAATGAGGTTTTCTCTCTATGTCGGGGGTCGGCACCCCGCGGCTCTGTAGCCGCATGCGGCTCTTCCATCCATCTGATGCGGCTCTCTGTGCTTGTAAAATAATGAATGGATATTTAAATAAAATGCTTTATATTTTACTGCATTAATTTTACATCTGTATGCCAATTCCAAATGTAAAGATTGTCTGCGTAAACCTGAACAGGTCCAGCCCGGTCTTACTGTGAGACCGGGTTGACGCGTCACGCTTGTGCGTAATCATAGGCGCATTCTGAGCTGACGAGGATGTGAGATTCTGGGATTCTCCTCAGACAGCTCATGGATGCGTTACCACATTGGAGACAGGAACAATCACTATTCAGCCAATGTTCATAATCAGGGAACATTTTCTAAGTGACAAGTCTCGCTTCAGTCGGAGGAATCTTCCTGCATGCGCTCTGGTTCTGCTACGCGCTCCAAGCCTCTCTCCACATCTTCAGCTCGCTGTGTACCGTACGTACGCGCTGACAGCGAGCTGCGCTGAGCAGTGTCCAGCTCAGATGTTCAGATGGGAATCTTTTCTTGAGTGATTTAGCTACATCTGCGATGTGCGAAACGAATAAAATGTCAGTTCGTCTGCTTGCGTCGGGGTCATTCTTTCTATTCTTTCTCCGTCAAAATAAACGGTCAAATACGGGAACTGTCCGGTCAACACAAGCCCTGCTTTCAACTGTTCTGTTTTCTTGTGAAAATAGTTGGAAAGAGATAAATTAAACTTGATTAACACCAGAGCCAGGAGCACTGCACCGTTATCTCCGTCATTGTAAATGAGGGAAAAACAAATTGATCGGATCTTTTTCTGACCTTCCCCACCTACAAAGTTTAATTACAACAATCAAACGTGGCAGAGTCTGGATTTGTATTCTGAACAGTCTAAACATGTTTTAAAAAGAAACGTATGACAAAAGTGGCACCTGCTCAGTAAAACCACCAACAGGGTGAAAAATATCTAAATATTGTCGGCAGAGACGGGCTACAACTTCTGGATCCATTTTATATAAATCATTTTATTGATTATCTTCTTATGAAAGATAACTTTGACGTACACGAGCGACCAGTACCGGCTGCTGTCACCTGTTGTGGGCAGCTCTTTGCTGTCTGAGGGTAGGCCCCGCCCACAACGCCGCGGCTGCTGCGGTGTTTTCTTTACTGTGGGAAACGGGTAATAATGGCTCTTTGATGGGAACAGGTTGCCGACCCCTGGTCTATGTCTATGCAGGACAATAAAGTTTTGAGGTGTTACAATTACTTCTGGGGGCAGAGTTGCAATGACATGCGCACTGCGTTGCCCTAGCGCATATTTAAAACAGAAAAGGCAGACAGGGATACAGGGCCAACATTACCAGTAATCAAAGATGTACCCGTTACATTTAAATCGGATGTCTGGGCTAATTTCGGTTTTGGGATCCTGGATGTGAAAGAATCACTTAACGCAGTATTTGTTTACTATTTTTAAGTTCAGTAATATTCTATCTTAAAGCTGCTCTACCGAAAACATTATTTTTTGTATTATTTAAGTAATTATAGGCAGCAAACTTTAAACATTATCGCTCACTATAGTGAATGGATGAATGTTCTGTTTTTCAGGGATTTCGAAATCAAAAAGAAATTGAAAACTATTCTACTGCTTTTATTAAGTAATGAAAATGTTTGGGTGAAGAATCGTGATGCATTTCAGACTCAAATCGAATCTTTAGGCAGATAATCGGAATCGGATCGAATCGTGAGGCAGGTAGAGATGCACGCCACTAGAGATGAGCCAAGGAATTTGCTTTGGAGTCAGGCAGAAACAGGAAACAGGAAGCCTGGAGCAGCGCTTCGGTGCGGCGGGAATCAGGAAAAGCTCTGGAAGCTGAAGGTAGCCTGCTCCTGCAGCTACAGGGGAACCTGAGCTTCTGTTGCATTTTGCTGCGTTGTTCAACAATTTGCTGAAGTGTTAAATGTGCTTGTTAAATGAGGCAGTCCTGTAAATTATTTACAGCTGATATTGTATCTGAGACGATTCTTCAGAGCCTCTTCTCCCGTCGCAGTAGGAAGACATTTCCCAGAAACAGCTTGTCACCTTCTTCAAAACTAATAGTCACAGGTCATGTTTCCTCCATCGATCCAGACCTACAGAGAGCCCTTCTGCTCTGTCTGCTGGAATCAGCAATACGACCAACCACAACAGAATAATTGACTGTGTACAGTTACAGTAAAAATAAACTATGCTGCATTCTCTCTCCTGCTGCCGTCTGGCCACAGCACCTCATCCACATCACAAGCATTGTTTTCCCCGGCCAAGCAGCGGGGGAAAATAGCCTAGCGTGGCGATTCCAGCCATGAAATAATGCAGCTGCTATATCTCCACATGCGTCCTCCATAGCTGGGAGAAGAGGCGTACGTGTTTGTGTCTGTCGGTCGTACACCTTCCGTCTCCAGGCAGAAAAAAAGTCCTCAATGGGATTGAGGGATGGAGAATATGGAGGGAGAAAATGGCTGGCCAGTGAACCAGCTACGAACCACAGCAGCCCTGTAGAAACTTACGTTGTCCCAAATGACAACGCACCTGGGCTGTTCTGGACCATGTGCCTGATCCGGTGGAATGAGTGTGTTATGTAGGGTGTCCAGGAATGTGATCAGATGGGCAGAGTTGTAGGGGCCAAGGGTAGCATGGTGATGGATAACGCCATGGTGGGTAAGCGCTGCACACATTGTGATGTTCCCTCCACGCTGGCCTATGATGTTCCTTCCTCTCTTTTGTCTGTGAGGCTGAACCCAACCTCATCGATGAAGATGAGCTGGTGCTCCACTGCAGCTGCCTCTAGCTCCAGGACTCTGAAACACACGAGACAACATCAGAAATGGACATGGAGTGGTCACTATTGTGAAGCACAACCATTATGGTTGATGAAGTGAAATATGTAACTTATTGTGTATAGAGGTGAGATCTGCATCAGGGGGACTCACTCACACAGTTACATCGCCGTTCTTTGACTCTTTCTGAATTGTGTTCAAATGGCACGCTGTAGCCCGGCTTCACCCTGATGGTCTCTGCGTGGTCCCGTGTTGATAAGTTTACCTTATCAATATTATTTTCTATTATTTTTCTTTGTGTTTGCTGTAATAATGTGACCTTGTTTCTGGGACCATGTTCGCGATTTCAGTTTCCTGTTCGGGAGACAGAAGACGTTCCCGACCACCTCCTTTTGGTAATCTTCCACTTCTGCCAAACAAATAGTAAAATACTGAGAATACAAAGTAGGCATGCATTTCCTAAATACTTGAAACATGCATTACAGTATTTTACTGTCCTACAAAACAGTCCACAGGCAATACTACTACTGTACTGATTGAGTACTGATTGTATTGATATGCATTGAGAGAAGATTTCCTGCCATTCTCATTTGGGAAAATCCGGATGATGGATGCTATGGTGTACCTGCTGTAATCTTTGGCCAGCCTCCCTTTGTTCGACCATGGTTGACCAAAGTGGCGCAGATCTTATCAGAGAGTACAGTCCTTGGCCTTCCTCGTCCTCCTCGTCCCCGTCCTCTTACTCTCACTCCTCTGGCTCTGCCTGATTCCAACATTGGCATCCACTGCTCCAAGACAGAAGAGCTGACCTGTCGCCCTTTTATGATAAAGCTCAGATTGCTGGTTGTAAAACTGTGTGACGGGTGTTTGCACTTGTGATGAGTCAGTGTGCACGTTTGTCTGTGTTCCTTGTGAAAACAACATATTTTCTGCATGAAAATTGTGCCAACAGCAGAGAGTTGTGTCTGGTATTTTGAAAAAGTGTGTTTCAGAGCTGCATTTTGAGTGTGCAACAGGAAGTGCGTTTGTAGTTTAGCAGAATTGGTTCTGGGGGTTGGTGTTGTGGTCATCGTGTCTCAAGTACCAGCATCTGTGAAAAACTGTAATTACAGCTAACTCTTTACAATAAGGGTCTTTATTAATGTCACTGATATTAACCATTAGGTGTGTCGGTCCTTCTCCCTCTGACCTGTTGTCCTCAGGACTTTATTGGCCTCAGCTGCTCCACCAGGTTCCTGGTTACCTTTGTGTCTACCTGTTGTATCTCCCTACCTCCATTATTCATATTAACCTGCAGCCATCACCATTTCATGACAAAGTGTCCTTATGGTTAGGACAAAGGGCCGGGGTGGGTGTTTGCTGAGTAATAATGATAAATCAGTGCAGTTGGAAAAGGTGTCACTAGCAGGCTGAAACATGCATTACTTAATATTAGGCAGTTGTTTAATCGTTTATTAACACACTAAGTAATGTTAATTAAGGGACTCTTATTGTAAAGTGTTACCTAATTACATGTAAACATAATAATAATGTGGTTGTGGGGCGGAGCAGTGAGTCTGATTGTGTTTATTACAATAGTCTAATTAACCATGGCAGTAATCAGAGTATTTGTACTTATTACATAGTAACTGTGCAGTAGGATACTTTCAGGGGTTGTATCTGGTCTGATTAGTGCCAAGGACAACATGAATGAGAGGCAATCCCAGCTAAACCAGACGATTCCTCTTCGACCCTCCAGTAAACCCAGTGGGTGGAAACCCTGCCCTCTCAGACTAATGGCTCTACGGAGACAGCCACTTATCACCACACGTCTGGATAACTGTCAACCTTGGATGTAATTAAAGGTTTGTGGGGAGGTCCAGAGCAGTCTGCTGTAGATGGTTTGGCTGGTCTTGTCATCCTAGAAGCCTCTAATGATGCGTCTGCAATGGTGATTGATGAAGCATTTAGTGTTGAATCAAAGCACGAGGAACGCTCGCTGCCTGCTAAGCTCCGACAGCAACTGTATTTGCACAACA